CTAAAGTAAAAGTTGAAATAAAAAAAAACTGAGGCCAAAAAATCCTTTATGTTGTTTTAAAAATTAATAGGTAAGCTTGAAAGCAAGAAGACACCATCTTCAGGTACCATACATAATCTAATAAGAAACGCATAGCCATTAATTAGAGCAAAGTAATCCTTTATGAAACTGAGATAATTGACATATTTCCCAGGATAGTTTTTTTTTTGTGGCAAAATATCTCATAAATTTCAGGATATTTGGCTTTTCTGGACCCATTCACACTAAATGCCAATAATATCCAATACTCATTGCAACAAGTAATAATGCATCAACTAGAAAAAAATTTATTATGAGGTTAATTAAGCTCAAGTTTAAGGGTTCGCCATTACATGAACTCCTCCCAGAGCCCTGTACCTAATTTTGTATTTGTAAATTTGTATTATTCCTTAAAAGGCATTAAGAATTGTACAAAACTTCAGACCCCCTAGTTCTAGATTTTACCCTGACTCTTAAACATTTTCAAACTCCATCAGGCTAGGGAAGGAGGGACAGATACATTCTCAATTGAGAAACAGTGTTTTCAGGAAAATGGATATTTACACACATGTGATGATTGGAACTGAGCCTATCGTCTATTTGTGTGTTGGGTTCCTGAAAGTCATCCCCTCTATATATCCAAAAGTCTGAAAATGATTGTGACATGTGTGACCCTAAATGTGGATAAGGAAGACTCTTTTTCCCGGCCTCAAAATAATGGATTACTAGTGAATTTTTTGTCCTGAAATATGAGTCTAAGGAATTCATCTGCAATAAACCAATATCATTATGTGTTTCAACCATGTATGTTTGAGGGCTAAAATTACCAACTTATGTAAAAATTTTCAGCCAAAAAATTAAGACAATAAATCCTATGAGGATGATCTTATTAATAAAAATTACAAAATACCTCCCAAATTTCACCACTACAAGGCAAAGTTAGCATATGTAACAAATAGAAGAATTCACACTGCAGAAAATAAAAGTAATAACACGAACTTGAAGATCTTTTAATCTGTCTTTGGGTATAAAATAAAAGTCTTCTTTTTTTAATCAAGCTTATGAAACCAGTTCAGACTAAGAACCTCAAGAATGCTCTAGATTCCAGCTTGAGATGATCTTTTGGTTTGACTGTTGACTCTATCCTATTCTGAGAACAAAATCAACTTCTAGGAGTTTCAGACCGTTTAGAAATGTGAAATAAGCTATTGTTCATTTTCTTATAAACATAGTCATATATGTATATAACAAATTTTGTATACAACATTGAGATCATCACAAATTACCCAGCGTTTATTACTGTATCCCAAAGCAGTCATAAACCCTGGTTAACAGCACCTATTATAGATAATAATATCTATGTATAGAAGCAACTGTTGAAATCCTTTGGATTTTATGTATAGCAAAAAATTGGGGTTCTATGAAGAGGCTTGTATCTCAGCCCTTGTTTATTTCTTCTATGTTGTACTTCCATTTGGTACAGATATAATATATCCTGTATATATTATTTAGCTACAGAAAGCATCAAGTAATTTGAGCAAACTCATACTTTTTCATAGGTCATTAAATTTCACAATGCTCTTAATCTATTCCCTTTCAGAGGTGGAGAGTAGGAGATCCAAGCTAAAATGTTAAAAGTATATAACAAATAAATATGTTAAGATAAAATGAAATTTGAAATTAGTATATAGTTGAAATAGTGATAGAAGATTAATAAGATAAGGTCAGGAGTGATGATGGCTTAAAGATGTATGTTAAAATTACGTAGTATATCTTCCATACCAGGATGAAAACGTGGCTTAAGCTTTCAAGTAGAAAATGTGAACCCCGAAAATCTGAGACAAGTCTCAGTTAATTAAAAAAGTTTATTTTGCCAGGGTTGAGGATGCGGGTCTGTGACACAGCCTCCTGAGGTCCTGACGGTATGTTTCCGAAGTGGTCAGAGCACTGTTGGATTTTACAGATTCTAGGGAGACATGAGATATCGATCAACATATCCAAGATGAACATTGGTTTGGTCTGGAAAGGGACAACTCAAAGCAAAGGTGGGAAGACCGAAAGCAGGGAGAGGACTTCCAGGTCATAGGTAGGTAAGAGAAAATAGTTGCATTCTTTTGCATTCTGATTAGCCTCTCCCAGGGAGGGAATCAGATATGCATTTATCTCAGTGAGCAGAGGGGTGACTTTGAAAAGCGTGGGAGGCAGGTTGGCCCTAAGCAGTTTCCAGCTTGACTTTTCCCCTTTCACAAAAATGTAAAGCATTATTTTCTGATATTGCTTAATCCAAGAATATATTTAAAAGCATATAAATCTGGGATTAGAAAACACTTTCTTTAAATAGTGAATAGTTTAAATATTGCGAGCCATATGGTCTCAAACTCATATTCTTTGCTTTTTTTTTGTTTTCTGTTTGTTTTATATTAGTTTGTTTTATAGTCCTTAAAAACTGTAAAAGCCTTTCTTACCTCCCAGGCCATAAAAAAAACAGATCCATAAGTTTGCCAACCTCTGATATGGAAAATTTGATGGACTAAGCATTCTTCAAACAATTTTGCATAGATATTGCCTCTTTCTACTAAAATTTGCTGAGACAGCAATGCTAAATTTCAAGTCGTGCTTACTAATAAGTACCTGATTTATAACCCTTCTTATTTACCAGTTAATTATGAAAGCTATATTATTTCCCAGCAAGTCAAGTTAGGGATAGGATTACTATTGTCTTGAACAAGTTTACAAATCTGACTGCTATTTTTGTTTTCTTCAGAGCAGATGTCAATATGAGATTAGATATTCAAGACATATGTTTAAAGTAATGTTTATGGAAGATAAACAGAAAAAGCAGAGATAATCTTCATACAGGAATATTGAAACCTGTGAAAGAATAAACCATAGGGAGGTGGATTGAATATGAAAAGTTCCAGACTGCAGCACAGCTTTGAAAAAGATTTGATGAGGCCATAAAATAGTGCTATGTCCCACAGAGAATGCTCATACTCTGTTATTGACTGAGGTATTCCAGAAGAAATGTGGACTCAGCATAAGGCAGAAATATATCTAGAGGAGCAGTGGCTAGAATTTTCAGCCAACTATACTTCCCAGAGCAAAAGAGCTGAGTGACACATTTCCCTATCTGTCTATACTGACAAAACAACAACAACAACAACAACAAACAAACAAAAAACCCACAATTTTCTAAAGAATGGCAATTTTGTCAAATAATTATATATAAAAAAGCATCAGCAATTTAAAAAGAGAATTATTTCAGCCTTTTTTACGTTTTATTTTTTAAGTGGAAGATTTTTTTTTTTTTAACTCTGTATGTTGCTTTATGGGAGCAAGATTCCTGATCGGTATACAGTGATGTATTTACTAAACAGAGACCTGTGCAATAATTACATACTATCCATCTAGATAGGTTGTTACACTTTTGCCTATTGATGGAATAGTTCCATTTATCAAGTTTTATACATCAAAAAGCTTTTGAATTTCACCAGACTGTCCATTAATTCACCTCTGAAAAAGTGGCATTTAATTTCAGCAACTATATTTTACAGCATTAAAAAGCTTACGCATTAGGGTGCTTCTCTGCACAATGGCATTGAGCAGACAGAGCTGAGTCCCTTATCCCACCCAGATTCACAGTCACATTTGAGAGCTTTATACCAGAGAGCAGGGACAGTTACTGCTAACCATCACAGACTTCTTACTCTGAGAGCTTATCTTCTTGGCCACATTTTATATAGCCAATGAAGACATGCCAGCAACTGTCCCATGTATAACTTTGCATTAGAGCACCAGGTCTGTTGGATGGTGGTGGCAGGCACTATTACTTTATATCCAGGTAAAAGGCCAATTTTAAAAACTGCCACTTGGAGATAAAAATCAAGGGCACAATATACCCAGAAAAGTATTGAGCAATCTGGTATCCCAAATGATGTGAACACTTTCAGAAGCCAATGGTAAATTGAACCCACGTTTCCCAGCTATGGAGATATTAATACATTGATTCAAATCCCGTTACTCAATCCACATAGCCCTGAGGTCATCCTGCAAAGTGCGTATCAAAAAATAAGAAGTTAGGGTGACAAAGTTTGACAGTGATGTTTTACAAGTCAAACTTGGAAGGTCACAGTAAGCATACCTATGCTGAGAGAAAAGCATCAAATCCTTTGTGTACACATTTAGTTTTACTGTAACAAAGCAACTTATACACTTTTAACGTTTAAAACTGAGCATCATCTTTCCTTTCCAGTGAAACAAAAAGAAAATTTACAAATAAACAGGAACAAAATTACCATAGAGAATGCCAATTCCAAATAAGATCCTACAGGTTCTGCTGATTCTCCCATTGAGTGGTAGGGCTCAAGTCATCATTAGGAGAGAATTTATTTTTAAAAGTGTCATCTTAAACTGCAAGGATGTCTGTCAAATATCACAATTAAACATGCCAGAGGAGAAGCTGTGTTGTCAAAATGCCCCCTTAACCCATCCAGACATCTCAAACCCACCCTTTTCTGACCTTCTATGACCCCATTTTTTAAAGTCTTTTTTTTCTTTTTTTAAACAAGAGAAAGTAGACAGATACAAGTTGGTAAATGCTAACTGTCCATATTCACGTAGAGACATGCTGTACTCTCTAAGCCCAATATACAGAGAAAGGAGGAAAAAAGCGAGAATTCTATGCACTACTACACAGGCACTTAGCACCCTCCAGCTTCCAGCAAAGCGAAGGGAGCAGGTTTTTCTTTTATCCCACAGAGCTCGGTGGTGTTGATTCCATACAGTTTTTGTTGAGACAGGAAGGGATAAAAATGAACTTCGAACAGAAAGGGGTAGAGACTCTTTTCCCATTGTATTGTGCTCAAGGTATTTCCCCAAAAATAAGTTGAGAACCATGGAGTAGAGAAAAGAGACCTCAAGAACAGGGCGACTGAGCACAAGAGGAAAAAAAAAAAAAAAGATTGCAACTTGCTCCCAGGGACTGGAGAAAATTTTTAAAAAGGAAGGTTGGAATTCATCAGTGTTCTATTAGTTATCTTCTTCTTCATCCTCCTCTCTTTCCTCCCCTTCATCATCATCTTCATCTTCTTCACCTTCATCCTCATCTCCTTCTTCATCAATATCTTCTAATCTTTCCTCCTCTTAATCATCATCATCATCATCTTCTCCTTCTCCTTCTTCATCATCCATATCAGGAACCAAGTAGTACTGATATTTGGTCAATGGGTTTGACCAAATATCATCTTTGATGACCTCTCCTAACGCATCAGCACCTGCATCAGAAAGGTCAGTAAACCAGGTAAAGAAGCTCTCTGGTTCCTCATGCTGCCTCTTCCTGCTGGCTTTATTCTGCGTTTGACTTGAACTTTTCGTCAAATCCTTTCCAGATTTCCATTTGATTTCGGTGGACTTTGAAGATGGATCACCACTCTCACTCAGATGAAATTCTTTGGAGAGAACTTTATTTTCAAAGTAAGGATTTTCATCAAAATAAAAATTTATTCTGTAACCTGATTTAATATCTTCAAATTCTGTCACTTCAACTCTGGTCAAATAATGCAGTGCCTCTTCGTCTTCCTCCCCAAACAGTGCAGACACTTGTGGATGGTTGACAAATGTTGTCACCCAAAAATCTGGGATTTTGGCGATCAATTCTGACCTCTTCTGAAAAAATGGTTGGTGGAGTTTGTTATATTCCTGTTCTACTTTCAAAATCTCCTCACTGGCTTGTTCATTAAGTCTGTCTATTTCATTTTGTACTTCATCAATGTGTTCAATTGCTTCTTGCTGTTCTTTTTCTCCCTTCTTCGGCAAGCCTGCAGAAGCCGGTGTCTCCTCCGGTCCCAGAGCAGGCGGTGGTCTTGGTTTCTTCTTTTGAGGCAGGAGTGAAGACTGCCCTTTAGGGGCCATGCTGTTTGGGAAGTCCTAGAACCAGACCACGAGTCTCCTCGCCCGTCCGGAAGCAGGCTGAATACTGGAAGATTTTTATTATTTTATTTGTATAGCTTTTTTATTTTTAATTTTTATGAGTACATAATGGGTGTATATATTTATGGGGCATATAAAATGTTTTGATAGGGGCATGCAATATGAAATAGTTAACCACTTCAAAGAGAATGGGGTATCCATTTCCTCAAGCATTTATCCTTTGAGTTACAAACAATCCAATTACACTCGTGAAGTTGTTGAAAAATGTACAATTAAGTTATTGTTGATTTTAGTCACCCTGTTGTACTATCAAATAGTAGGTCTTATTCATTCATTTGATAATAGAATTGAATTGCTAGTTGTGGAGTTTTGCATCTATATGATTGGGTTGTATTTATTTATTTATTTATTTATTTATTTATTTATTTATTTATTTTGAGATGGAGTCTCACTCTGTCACCCAGACTGGAGTGCAGTGGCGGGATCTCGGCTCACTGCAACATCCACCTCTCGCGTTCAAACAATTCTCCTGCCTCAGCTTCCCAAGTAGCTGGGACTACAGGTGCCCGCCACCACACCCAGCTAATTTTTGTATTGTTAGTAGAGATGGGGTTTCACCATGTTGGCCAGGCTGATCTCAAACTCCTAACCTTGTGATCCTCTCACTTCAGTCTCCCAAAGTGCTGGGATTACGGGCGTGAGCCACCACACCCTTCCTGTCTGTATTTTTTTAAATGTGTCTTTGGTTTTGGTATCAAGGTAACACTGGCCTCATGGAAAGAGTTAGGGTGAATTCCCTTCTTGTCAATTTTTTGAAATAGTTTCAAGAGTTTTGGTTTTAGTTTTTCTTTGTATGTTTGGTAGAATTCAGTTCTGAATCCATTTGGTTGTGAGTATTTTTTGTGGAAAAGTTTTTTTTATAACAGATTAAATCTCACTACTCATTATTGGTCTGTTCAAGAGATCTATTTATTTGTGGTACAATCATATGAAAAGGTTCTATGTTTCCAGGAAGGTATCCATTTCCTCTAGGTTTTCTAGTTTGTGAGCTTATAGTTGTTCATAATAGTCTCTGAAGAACTTTTGTATTTCTGTGGTATCAGTTGTAATGTCTTCTTTCACATTTCTGATTGTGTTTATTTGGATCTAGTCTCTTTTCTTGGTTAATCTGGTAATGGGTTTATCAATTTTGCTTATGTTATTGAAGAACCAATTTTTCATTTCAATCATCTTTTGTATTTTTTTTGTCTCAATTTGATTTAGTTCGTCTCTGACCTTTGTTACTTCTTTTCTTCTGCTAACTTTTGTGTTGATTTTTTTTTTCTTGTTTTTCTAGTTCCTTGAGGTGTGATGTTAGGTTAATTTGTAATCTTTTTACCTTTTTGATGTAGATATTTAATGCTATAAACCTCCCTTATATTATTGCTTTTTCTGTATCCCAAAAGATTTGATAAGTCATTTTTTTTTAATTTATTTCAAACGTTTCTCTAATGTTTTTCATTTCTTCATTAACCCAGTTGTTACTGGAAAGGGGTCCCGATCCAGATCCCAAGAGATGGTTCTTGGATCTCACACAGGAAATAATTTAGGGTGAGTCTGCAGTGCAAAGTAAATGCAACTTTATTAAGAGAGTAAAGTGGTGAAAGGACATAGACAAAGTAGGATGTTCCC